AAGCGTTCCTTGCTTACGCTCGGGAAGTAAAAAGTAACCAATAATTATTGCAGAACGCATTTCTTTATTAAATGTTTTTTCATTTTTAATCTCATTGTAGCAATTACAATATTACATCACTATCTGGTTCAGAATGTTTAAACTAAAACAGTAAATTATAAATTTTTGATTTGATTTTGTCAGCAACGATACTAGTTTTAAAGCCGCTGAGTTCGGAGGCCACAAATTCACCAAACACACTGTCACTAGTTTTTTTTGAAAATTTTGCTCTAATCAATCAATACAATTTCCCACTTTTACTACGTTTTCTTCCAAGGCAGTCCTACTTTGCGTTCGTTTTGATAGTGGTGTCTCTTATACATGACTAGCATGTGGAGTTTCGCTCGATCGTCCTCTTTTGGTGCTTGACTTCTTGTCCAAAGTACGATGGACGAGCTTGATCTGTATTCGTTAATGTCTCTATCAGCAATGAACTTGAGCTGTTGCTTGGTGATGGCCCACCTACTTCAGGTAAACATAAATCTCCTGTATTACTATTACCATAACTATCAGATGCAATAAAAACATTTTTTCTACAATCGTGTAAAAAATTACTCGTATCAATGGTTTAGAGTGCAAAGAGTGGCACTTTCTTGCACTAGCGCAAAAACAAAATTATTGCACTTTAATGTCAATCTAATCAACGTCAAATTGTATGTATATAGTCAGGATCACGAAGCAATGCGTACACGTCACGGACTCTGTATGACGTCATGCGTCTACCACGTTTATCATACAAATGAATCGGTTTGAAAACTGTCAACAAACATGTCGGCTTGTTATTGTTTTGGTTTGTTCTATTTATGATTATAGCATGAGAAGACCGTTAGTGTGAAGCAACAGTTAAGAAATAAGCTACACTTGCAGTGTTTCAGCACACAAGGGCATGCTGCAGGCTGCATAGACGCTATGAATTACAAACTCAGGCACAGGAAAGATCATGACTGTAACCCCTTTCACGTGTTTCTAGTCACTGAAGCCTGCCACTCACGTTCCAACGCCGCGGTACAATTGTGTAGGATATGACGAAATTGAAATGTTTTTGAACGTCTGTGTATGCGACAAGCAAATCGGTTGGATGTGGACGGTTGGTGAACAAGTCTGTCTGCAGCCGTACAATCGTATTGTATTGGATGGAAATTTGATCGTGTGGACAGTGTACGTTATACAAACCGTGAAAGCAGGTATAAAAGTCCATTTTCTTCGGACATGTTGCCACCACGATCGCAAATTTTTAAGTACAAGGTCATAACGTGTGTGTACTGCTGCTTGTCAGCAGAATTGTACAGCAGTTGTATCCAATACAATCGTACCCCGGCGTTGGAACGTGAATGACTGGCTTTAAGAACGTTCATTTTTGCATTGACTGCTGGTAAAAACTGCTGACAATTGGGTGTTAAACACATACTTGGAGGGTGGTACAAGGCTTCATACTGTACTTAAAGCTACCAACGAGAATGTTAACATACGTCTCAAACAGACAGCATTGAAGAGTTGTGACAGGTTACTTTATTGACATAGAATAGATACAAAGGTAAAGTATAAACAATAATAAGTATGCATGTTGCACAACGTCGTCGTCTGACCAGTGATTTGTATATTTGGCCAGTGAAGTGATAGTGTGATTATAAAAGACATCAGCAGAACATGCCGCTAGTACAATCAATTAGGATGGTAATGGAAAATAACCTACATGTTACAGTGGCTGAATGCCCTCTGCAGTATTAGAATCTTCACTGTCATAATCACTAAAACTAGAATCTGAATCTTCGTTAATGTCGATTATAAACGGCACAATCTCTTCACGGTCAAATACTAATTCCCGTTCCCACCACTCCCGTATTATTTTATTCATATGGTCAACAGTATTTTTCCACATTGTGGGCGTGACATGTGCTAACGCTTCTTTCCACATTTCCACGGAATTTTTTGACCATAACCATCACGCCCAATGTGTTTGGAATAAAAATTTGTAGTAATTCCCCAAATATTTTCTATAAGGTTAAACACACAATGATATGGCGGCAATCGCAATACTCTGTGGCCATTCTGTTGGCCTAATTCACGGCAACATACGTTTTTGGAGGTTTATTTTTGAAAAACATGATATTTTAAATGAAACGATAGAGAATAGTATATGCATTACTGTGCAACCAAATGAAGAAGTTCCGTTTTTAACAGCTGTGAATCTGAAATTATGTCATGTTGTTAAAGCCATTCACGAATTTCTGCTGTTTTCCATGAACCATTGGGACATTTGTTTGCAAGGGTACTGTGGTAGCTTGGCATTGTCTATAATAATCAGTGATGGTTCTTCAAGATTCATGAGCAATTGAAACCACTTGAGAAAATTCTGTTGATTCATTTCGCCATGATAGTCTGGATTTTTGGTATTAGAAGAAAATACTAGCGCTGCTTCATCAATAAATCCATTGCTTGTACCTGCATGTAATACAATATACCTAAAATATAGTGAGAAGAATAAATAACTAACGTGAAACTGACACATTACTAAATTTTCCCTTCTATTTTGAACATCCTGGGGCCCTATTCTTGAACTCATGCGACTTCAAGTCGTATACGAAAATCGTCGCATGGTGATTTCGTATGCGAAAGATGAAAGTCGCACGCTCTGTATTCTTGAGCGCTAGACGAATACAATTTCGCATGCGACGTATTTGCGTACAGTCGTAGATAAGTTCATACGGCCTAGATGATGCTTTGCTGTCAGAAACCACTATCGACCAATGGAAGATGAGAGGGAAAATTTAACGTTTTAAGTACAACAAAGATTAATTGGAAGTCCCGCAAGTTAATAATATGGAATTTATCGGTTTTACTGTGAATATTATGTTAACTATCAAGTGATATCAATATAACTGGAAACAGCAAATAATATAATTTGTTTTTAATAACATAATTCTTTATGTTTTATTCTAAAACATGTGTCCGGTATAAAAATGTATTAAATCACTTACTAATTGAAGGGTTGAAATTTTCCTAAAGACGACTTTCTCTTTTCTCAAAAAGACAGTTGGGACGGAAGGGTGAATGTTATCAGTTTAGAAAGTTGGGACGATAAGGCTGAATGTTATCAGTTTCGAAAGTTGGGACGGAAATAGCGATTTAGGGATTAAGTTGTTTATTTCTAAGTTTGGTCATTTTGTTCACTTGTAAACTGTACTCCGTACGACGAGGAGTTTATCTAGTTATATTCGAGAGTTTGTGAGTTTATTTAATAAAAAAACATGAGTGGAACGAAGAGTGCGCACATTTCAAGTGAACAAAAAACACGTTTAATTTCGTTCATGCAAGAAAATAAAGAATTACTCGAGGGGAAGTTCACAAAGAATTTTACGTTTAAAACAGCGCAAAACCTGTGGAACAGGGCTGCCGAAGAACTAAATTCCATTCCGGGGGCCCGAAAAGACTGGAAACAATGGAGAAAGGTAAGATAAATTATGAAAAATACAGCTTCGTAATTTTTTAACAAATGAAATTCTCCGAATATTTGAAAACTGTAATGGTATCGATTTTTTACAGACTTGGCAGGACTTGAAGGCTAAAACGAAGTCGAAAAAGGCTGACATGATTAAAGAATCGAAGAAAACCGGTGGTGGGCCACCTCCGGAAGATCTAGATTCAGGGGAAGAGAAAATAATACAAATAATTGGAAATACCGTTATAGAAGGTCAAGACGTCCCCGAATCCACGATTAGGTTTAATTGGGATGGAGATAGTTCTTCTCAACTGCCAGCAGAATTGTTAGAGCCGACAGAAGAACAAGTGGAAGAGAAAAAAAAAGAGAGAATTTTACCCGAAGAAAAACCCCAATTTTCTAGAAAGCGGAAAGCCCGTCCCGCAGAACGATTAGACAAGAGTCTAAAAGCATCAGAGCAGTTGGTCAAACTGACTACGGAAAAAAACAAAATGAAAGGAAAATATTATGAAAAAAAAAATTCTTTTATTGGAGCGGCAAGTAAAGGCCAAAGAAGAAATCGCAGAATCGCTGAAAATAATCGCTAATAGGTTAAGGAGAAATAATGGTAGTCTATTATAAAATAATAAATATATATCATTTATTTTCAAAAATAATTTCTTATTATTCGAGCTTGGATTGTGCGCCCTGCAGCAAGTTGCGGGTTGACTCGCTCGTTATGTGCAATTTGCTCATCATTGATATTCATACCAAAATCCACTTCTACCTCATCGTTGTCTTCTGGTTCTTCTACATTATTAGCAATGCACATATTGTGCAATACTGCACAGGCCTTGATTATTTTTCCCGCTTTTTCGGGGTGGTAATGCAACACTCTGTGTTTAAGCAAACACCTAAACCTCATTTTCAAGACACCATTACACCTTTCGATTATAGATCGTGTCCTTTTCTGCGACTCGTTGTATCTACCTAAAGGCACTTTTTTTTTTATTCACACAATCACAACAGAAAATGTAGGTAAACATAAACATGTGAGTTAACCTCAAAATCACTCCATCACTCAGTTGTCAGCAATGCGCTTCGCTGAGTTTCGGTACGAGTTCGGTAATAATCGTACCCACTTTCGTATACGAAATTCATTTTCGCTCGGTAAAGACCATGCGTTGCTTTTCGTACGACAAATTCGTATACGACTGACCGTTTTTCGGTTCAAGAATGCGAAGTTTGACAATCGTATACGAAATGAACGATTTTCGTATACGAAAGTGAGTCGCATGAGTTCAAGAATAGGGCCCCTGATACTTTTGACACTATCGTCTTGCAATGACCTAACTACCGAACCATTTTCAAATATCCATGTTTCATCAAGATATACACATGGCAAAGGATTTGGGTTCTGTTGATTGTGCATGTATTCACGTAAGAATTTGGTTCTTGCATGAACAACATGTTGTAATTCCATAAGACGCTTCCGTACACTGGTTGGCGAATAACGAAACCGAATAGAGAATGTAAAATTTTTCCCTCAAATATATGTTTCTCCTTCAAGCAATCAATTAATGGCGATCGTGTAACATGTATTTCTGTAAAATAATCGTTAGTATCTATGTATAAGGCGTGCGCATCAAATTCATACTTTTTTCGACCATTCCATATAAGCATTATCGAATAGCACAGTGCTCCGAAGTGCTAATATCACACACTTGCTTTGTTCGGGGGTCTCTATTTCTTGGGAGAATGTACACCTTCTCCGGTTTTTATTTGTTGTACCACGGAGTTCACTGTTCGCACACATACACCCAGAGCAGCAGCAACCCTCTGTATAATGTGACTGCATTACTAATTGTAATAAAATACACATACTTACGTCTTGAACAGCTGTTAGTGGTAAAAGAGGTCCCCCGCTATCGCGTTCTTTAGCAAAATAGTCCACTAAATTATCGTCCATTTGCTTTACATCTTTGTGCAAGGGCTTCGGCATAGTGGAATGTTTACGTTAAAGCAAGCGACACGTACCACGGTACAGGACAGTTAACTTGGAGTTCTAAAAAGAACTGTTATAGTTCTGAGAAGAACTGATACGATTACACGAGCAGAAAAGTAGAAAAACGCGAAAAATCAAACAATAACACAACATAACCAAAGTTGACACCAATGACACTTGTTAAATCGATAAAACTTTAGCATGTTTCGCTATCAGTCGTACCAATATAATTTCCCCCAAATTGATCGATTTTGATCCGTATTGCCACATATTGCGGCGCGTATTTTTGATTTAGTGTTGGTAACGGATCTACGTCATCCATGACGTGTACGCATTGCTTCGTGATCCTGAGTATATCTATATTTTCTTTTATCGAAAGGGAAGCACGTATCATGGAATATTCGGACCAGAGGGTAGAACGCTTTACCTTCGTTGACCGATCGGAAAACTAAGCCAGAACCACGGTTTCTGTTAACTGCACAACCTTTTTGTCTACACACCATTCTTTGAACCGGTTGTAATATCCGTTCGCAAAACTCCCGCACTGTCAGAATGACATTCTATTGGTATGAGAAATAATCCCCTAAAAGATTTTTAAGTTTATATGATTACCGCCTTGAATTTCAAATTTTCAAAATTAATGAATGAAAAATCAAATGTTTATTAACTATTTTACCTTTTTGAGTTGCTGAAGTGTTCAATGTGTTTAAAGAATTTGTCAGTAATTCAAACAAATTGTAGCACCAGAAGCGTAGAAGTGGACAGTAAGGTCAAAAATATATATTATTCAAAAAAAAGCTTTCGTTGTCGTTCGTGTGTCATACTCTTTCTTTACTTAAATTGATAAAAATCTTCAATTAATGTGCTTTTGACATTTTTATTTGACAAGTTATTTTTAGTTACTAATTTGTCACTAGATTGCAATTTTGCAACATATTGTACAGGTTTTTCGCATCTCACCACTGAGTACACTCAGGTCATTTTTTCCAAATCTGACACTGACAGTGCGGGAGTTTTGCGAACGGATATTATGTTCGCATCGGCACCGTTCAACGCTTGATCTAATGGAATTTCGGAAAGAAAACCAAATACTGGTGCTTCGCTTGCCAACGTGGTTTCTTCGGTTCTGAGGTTGTATCGTTTTCGAGGTCTTCCCTTCAAACCAGTTCTTTCGATTCGCGGACGGCCTGGACCACTCTGCTCGGGATGATGTCTTCTAATCTTCTAATCCCTCTTTCTTTCAAATATTCATCGAAATCATGGCTGGTGTACTCGCCCCCATTATCGGACATTTCACCTTTATTCCTTGCTGATTTTCGAGCATGGCCACGTACTCTTTGGTGACCTTCAAAACTTCACTCTTGGACTTCAAGAAGCGGACTTCGCATCATCTAGAACTGTCATCGATGAATTCAATGAAATAACGTGCTTTACCTAGCGATTCGACATGCATTGGCCCGCATACATCCGAATGTATCAAATCTAATATCTGCGTCGATCTAGAAGATTTTTTCGGAAAAGGGGTCGTGGTCTTCTTCCCCTGGCTGCAAACAACACACGTGAAGTTTTCGCCTCTTTCATCTTTCTTCCCTAACTGAAGACCCATCACGTGTTCCTAACGGTCTGCTTCCACCATGCTCTTGGGGTTGAGATAACCCATGCGATAGTGCCATAATTTGAATTTTTCCACAGAAGTCTGAAAGGCAACTCGTTCATCTTGAGTGTTCTTCATGCCGTTTTCGGACTCGTGTACGTAGTACAAGTCTCCTATTCGATCGGCAGTCATTTTAATTTCACCGTTCGAATTCTTCACAAACGCCTTGTCTCGTTTAAATACAATGTCAAACCCTTTATGTGTAATCTTGCTAACAGACATTAGGTTTGTGTGTAAATCAGGTACATGTAATGCGTCATGCAGGTAAATGTTCTTTACCGACCGAAAGTGTCCGTTGTTAACTTTACTGTACCTTTACCGGTCGTTCGTGTTGATGAATCGTTCGCCAAATTCAACACTTGTACGTTATCGCTGTTGATATTAGTAAATTCATTCCCATTATTACATAGGTGTGATGTTGCACTACTATCCAGACACCACCTTGACTTTTGTTGCGTCAGGATCCCTGTCATACAAGTTGTTTCACCATGGCCGACTAGTATAAAGATTATGGCCTGTCCAAGAGGTACCATACGTGTTACCATCTATTAATAATCACACTTAATAATTTAGCATAATTTTAATTTGACTTGACATTATGAGACTTCAAAATGTGTAATGGTGGTTTGTTTCGGTATGAATGGTTTTGTGCCTTTCAAAAAGTGTTAATAATTCTTTTGTCGTTTTTGAATTATTAATAGATGGCAGCACGTATGGTACCTCTGGACAGGCCATAATCTTTATACTAGTCGGCCATGGTTTCACTAGCGCAAAAGTCAAAATTGTCATTTTTCGCTGCCTTCACCTCTTGGGTGCGTTTAGAGCTTTTGGATCTACAGTCAATTGCCTTGTGCCTCACGATACCACACTTGTAGCACTTAAACTTGAACTTGCTAACGCCGTTGCCCGCGTTCGAGTGAAATTTTGGTCTACCCCTCGTCAACATGGCATTGTGATTGGCACTAATGACATTCCTTGTGTCACTTTTCCTCGCATCACTTTCTTCGGTAATTTTCAAGCGAAGAACCTCTGGGGATGGTAACTGATCTCTTGACTCGATAGCACAACCAAAATTCTCGAAACTCTTTGGCAAACTGTATAATAGCATAATAGCTAGAAGGTCTGAATTTATATCCATATCCATTTCACGTAACTTGTCAACAGCATCGAAAAACTTGTTTATGTGGTCTCTAATATCGCCGCCTTCATTAAGCCGCTGTAAGGTTAGTTGTTTCAAAAACGTAGCCTTCCTGGCTGGACCTTTACTCTGATATATGTTTTCTAACTTTACCCATAACTCGCGTGACGTTGTGCAGCTCTTGATTTGTTTTAACTCGGTTGGTGCTATGCACAATATTATGCCTGATCTTGCCTTGCTGTCCATTTTCACCCATTCTGCTACGGCCTTCGCGGAGTTCGGATCTCCTTCTACTAAATCCGGTTTCTTGTACTCCCCGTTGACATACGACCATTCGTCGTTCTAGACCAAGAGTGCTTGCATTTGCAGCTTCCAGGTATCATAGTTTTCTCGAGACAGACTATTATCTATTCTGGCGAAATTGTTACTCATTGCGATGATCTGCTGTCGACACACGACTTTCACCACGAGATGAGTTTATCACACCGCGCACTAAGCTTCTTGCTTCTTACAAAACCAATTGTTTTACGGGCATGTCTGGGCCCATAACCTATTACGAATAAAGAGGTACGTGCTCGTAGAAGCTTTAATGAACCTTAGTAAAAACAACGCAGAAATACAGAATACAAAAACGACAGTTCATTACTTTTTACAATTTGTTCATCTGTTATTGTTTGTTGTCATGACGAACCTACCGGGTCGCCCGTTTGTAATATCTAACAGTATGTCAGATGATATTATTTTCGGGATTTCTCGGGCAATAAATTACGTATTGCCGCATTGGCCATCTCGGTAATTCAGGGTTTATTCCATTTTCGCTCGAATCGCTCATTTTGGGGTTAGCACGGTTCAAAACACTCATTCACTACTTATTTATGGCGTTTTATTTTATTTTGCAAATTGGTTTTTTTGGAAACATTGTTTGGTTGTCATGGTAGCACGGATAACTAACATAAGACAGCATGATGATACCTTTTAGTTGTTGTAGAATTTTATTTAAGTCTCCAATAAAACTGGTGCACGACGTAGAAAAAATGTTGTATGTAACACATGCAAAAGTGTTCTTGCACTTGACGTATTGTCCGACTCGACCTTCAATCTCGTCGGACAATTGTTACGTCGCGTGCAATGATCAGTCACTGTTTGCACTTGTTGCATAAATAACTATTCTTCTTTCATGCCTTGATCTGGAGACACATGCGAAAACATTTCTTCAGCATATAATGCAGTTTCCACTTCAAATGTAATTGCCTCCTTGATATATTCACCATTCAATATTTGTGGCAGTTTTACAATAATTTACAACTGTTATATATAGGAATAGGTATTAAAATGAAGAAGTTTTACTTTTTTTCCAAATACAAAATTTCTATGAACAATATGTAGACCGACTACAACAACAGCTAAAAGTGTGGAGTCTCTGTTGTACAGTACATTTAGAGGTAATAGTCATACATACTATGGACAATAAAGGGAGGAAAAAGCTGAAGTAAATAAAAGTATAAAAACTGAACCATGTTGCTTGTTTATTTCAAAACAATTTCCTTACTTGGCTACTAGTCCAGACAGGGTTCTAGAGGATAGGAGTGCATTAGTCGAAATTAAATTCCCTTCAAAATCGCAAGATTTGTCTCCCGAAGAAACGGTTAGAAAAAAAATAATCAAATTTTGTACATTGACAGACAGAGAATTGAAACTAAAAAAAAAAACATGATTATTACTTTCAAGTCCAGGGACAAGTGCTTGTTACGGGTATTTCACAAGTTTATTTTGTTGTGTGGACACCCAAAGGAATAAATATAGAAAAAAATTATAAAGACGAAGAAATATGGAAAAAGATGTCAGATAAACTTGGCAGATTTTACTTTGGCGGATTATTGCCCGAAATAATTAATTCAAGAAGAAAGAGGAACTTGCCTTTGCGAGAGATTTTTTTTAAATAAATAATTTTTTTTCTATTTTTTATGTACTTTAGTAATTTATTAGGAGTACATTTTTCATCACGAAGACTTGCATATTTTTATTATAGATATATTTTGAAAATGATCTCTCGGCAAATGAAATCATATACGAGCACTTTTTTCGAGTAAACAATGAAGGGAGAAGCTACTGGACGTAGGGCTTTTTTAAAACGCCTCCTTTCTGGGATAAGTAGTAGATACACTTAGCTACTTATACGTGTTAAACAGAAGCTGTATTTTATATATTTTTT